TGAAGTTTTGAAGGACAAACACTTTTCTTGCTCAATGAAATAGTATGGTTTATCAACTGCCTATCATCCATAATCATAGCTGTGTGTGTTTTATCCGATTCAAGGAACTGCACTATTTCATAATTGCCTATAGTAGGAAGCCTCTACGAATCACACCTTAAAAGCAAGATGCTGTTTGTGGATTTAGAGAAGACCCAACACATCCTGCAAATTTCGTTTTCAATCCGATAGCCAAATATCGGTTTCTGCCATCTCTGAATGTCCAAAAAGTTATCGACTCAGTATGATGTAGTGGCCTCCTATGCTAAATACATATATTAAATATCCAATTTAAGCTTTTAAACTTAATTTATCAATTCCTATGAAACCAATCATCTCTGGTAAAGCTGATAAATCATTGTTTTCATTATTGCACCACTAAGCATGGCCTATGTGACATACCAAAGTGTATCTCGTTAGTTTTGTTTATCAATTTTAAAAGCATCTGAAATTGACGTTTGTTGAAAATCGATAAATAACTGAATTGGTTTATATCTAACTGGCATTTTTCCACTTCCAGTTATGCAATCTGAGTCTTTCTCATGATTACAAAGGCTTATACAAAGTTTGATTAATTATCTCAAGCTAAAGCCTTTGTTTTAGAAGACGTATTGTCCTTTTTAACAGTAAAAGCTAGTTGTGAAAACCACTATTAATTATCTTACATATTTTCATTTAAATTAATCGAATTCGTTTTTTTATCATTAAGTTTGTTAAAATGTATTTCTAGGAAAGTCATTAAATATTAAGGATTATGGATATTAGGCGCAATCATCCAAATGTTGGAAGATTAATAAAATATACGGTGACCTTTTTAGTGTTAATAAAACTGTTTTAGTTTCTGAAAATCGATAGATCGTCGACGTTTTGGGAATTTAGTCAGTCAGGGCACTGACAGCCCTGTAAAGCACCGTAAAAGTTGAGCTTAAATAATTCCAGTTTTTACTCCTCTCGTCTACAATGAACTTAAATTCTTAATTAAAAATCGGCATAAAACGCTTCAACTGCCACTTAAACTTCGATATAAACTAAATTATACCAATTTCCAAGATGTTTAATATGGATTTACACACACTTAAATAACCTGTAAAATTTTAAAAATTCGATATCTGAAATTACAGTTTTAAAATATTCCATTATAACGTTTACAAATTGTGGTGGTTGATCTCAAAAAATTTGTATACTTGCACTTTTTTGTAATTTTTGTATTAATTTTAAATTATACACAAACTAATATTGATGAAGGAAGAAACAAACAATAACTTAAACAATAATAAAAATAATATTATTAACGAGGATAGCGAAACGCAGTGGCTAAAGTTTAAGAACGTAATTGAAGATAAGCTATCAAGGAAATTCAAACCTAGAACATTAGCAATAGAAGATATAGATGGAAATACCAATGGACATAGTACAGCTGTATTCTGACAAGGAATATAGACGGTAAGGCAAATAATAATTGAGAAGAGATCGATTGTAAACCAGATATCTTGAAAGTGAAAGTGATAGAAGCTGGATGTTACCTAAAGCCAAATAAGGCTTCTGGAGCATATAAAATCCTGCAGAAATTTTCAAAGTGCTGGACGATGCGGTTGTAAGAAGCTATGTAACAAAGTATGAAGGCCAGGAAAATGGTCAAAAAATTGGACAATATCAATTCTCATCCCCATACACAAGAAAGATCCAACCCTGAAATGTGAAAACTATAGAACTATCTCCTTAAGTCTCCTTAAAACCAACGACTGAACAACTATCTGCAATCACAAATACTACACGAGATCAAATTTTTAATGTCAGACAATTAATAGACAATTAATAGAGGAATCTCGAGAATACAATACGCCCATGCTACTGTGTTTCATCGATTAGGAGGCGTTTGACTGTGTCAAATGAGAATGCTTGTGGTTAATCCTCGGTGACATGGAAGTGCCAAATCATATCGTTGCGCTAAATCACTATGAAACAGGAGAAGATCTCTCTCATCTGCCGATGGATACGACTCTGCTGGCGAAAGACTGAGAGGAATTCCATAAAATGCTGGATTTGGTAATACATATTCTCTAACACATTAAAGTATTGTAGATAAACTAGAAGAAGTCACAGAATTCATAGACCTAGGATGCAATCAGGGAATATGCGAAAAAGAAAATAGAAGATGAATACATAACGAAGATATGGAACAAAGATTAAATTAGTTACAATGCTTATATTCGCGATCTGCTTAGAAAGAAGCCGTTAAAAAAAGGATTGAAGCTTTCCAGATGTGGTGCTAGTGTCGAATGCTGGGTATTCTTTAGACTGACAAACGCACTAATATATTTATACTAAAAAAGCTCGAGATCAAAGACAGACTGTCCACTATTTGCTGGCGATGAATTCTACCATATTTTGAACATATAATCAGAAGAGTTGGAGATAACTTGAAAAAATTAATAGTCCAATGAAAAGATTAAGGGGAAGATCGCCAACTAGTTGGCTGGACGCTAGTTATTGAGAAATAAAGCAAAAGAATAACATAGAATCATAGTTAATCATAGTTCATAAACATAGAATCACAACTACTCAATTATGAGAATACGACGCAGAACAGAAGATTATTTTTCAGATTTTCGTACATGACTATATACAGGGTGTTTCATGAGGAATGGTACATACGTTAATATGTTATAGATTTGTTCATTTTAAGGAGAAAAGTTCCTAAAAACATATGCTCAATTCGCAAAGGTAACTGAAATACAGCCAGTTAATGCTGATGAAGCGAATGATTGTCAGTCTGAGGATAATCCGCATGCCAGTGTTGAAACAAATTTTCAGGTAACATTATCTGTGAATGTATGGTGTGGAATGATTGACAATAACTTAATTGGTCAGCTTGGTCAACGGACCTTAATCCGTTAGATTACGGTATATGGGGATGGCTGAAAAGCGATGTTTATCAAGTAAAAGTAAACATGAATGCTGCACGAATCAAGGCACATCAGGATAAATTACGCAGCACAGTGCGTGATATCTTCAAGAGATTAGCCAAGTGCATTAAGTTAGGCGATGGAATATTCCAACCCTTCCTTTAAAGCCCAAAATTCGATATTTTATGTACATATTTAAATAAATCAATTTATGCATTAACTGGCTGTATCTGAGTTCCCTTTGAGAATTGAGCACATGTTTATAGGAACTTTTCTGATTAAAATGAACAAATCTCTAACATATTAACGTATGTACCATTCCTCATGAAACATCCTGTATATAAAGCTATAAATTTGTACTAAAAATCGATACACGTTTTTCATTGATATTAATACCCAAGTTTCACGACCTTTAGACAACATCTCATTATACAGAAGGTCCAATTTCTACCCTTCCGTACATATTTTGTTTGAAATTATTGTTATTGATTTTTGTTGCTTGCATAACGAACAACTTTTAATTAATAAATTAAAGCGTAGAAATCAACTATTTCTAAGTTTAATAAGCCTACTAAATATTTTAAAATTTAGCGCATCAATTTAAAAAAATTTTAGTTCCACTTTTGTTACATTAATACTTCTAAGCTACTTATTCAAATCGATCATTTCTCACAAACGCCAACGTGTTACGATTATCACATCTGATATTAAACATGCAAACCTATTATTCTTTTTCATATACAATGGTTAGACGAGAAATAGGGTTGGGCGTGACCTTTGAAACTTTCCAGATCTGATCTGTATATTATTCATCTCATCATAAAAAATTGATATAACTATTTACATAAAAAATGATCTAATCTAAACCTTAAGAGATGTATTTGATTAGTAATTCTTTAACATGATTATTTAACATCACACATTAGGTTGCTTAATAACGAGGAAGGTTATCCCCGGAATAATTTCGTTTGTACATACCGGCACATGGTCGATTATGCAAATATTAACGAAGCTGAGCCGTATCACATCCGGTGTCCGCGTTGGTCCCGTTATATTAAATTTATAAACCAGGGCGTCCACCATTGATTTAAACCAAAACGCGATGAGGCTAGTGCTAGATGTTACCCCACAAAGTTTGGGTGTATATGCAGTAACGGACGAGCGACACACATCTGAAAATTGCAAATAAACCAACAACCCGAATCCTCCTAAATGTGATATACGAATGCCAGAGTGCATGTCTTCGTGGAGATAATATCTTTTGAACGCGTGCCAACAGAGTTTCAAGCCAATAAGGGTTTGTGTATCATAAATTTAAGAAATAATGGTGTAGGTGGTTACGGTGATAAATGATTCCTATCTACATCTTCTGTAGATCTTACATTGATCATTATTTTAATAATTTAATCTTTAATATAAAAATCATTCATTAATTCCCATAAATAATTTAAATGTCATTTTTAAATTTAAAGTTAAAATTGATTTCTAAACGTTAAATAAATAAAATAAGACCCGGTGCAACTTTATTGGATTTGCAGCAGCGAGGAGAAGCTTTCATCTGCCCAATCCAGTAAAAATTGTCCAAATTGACGTTTAAAATTGATTTACCTTGACCGTTTTCAAGCCCTATCTTTCCCGTTCGTCGTAAATCTTGCGAATTTTACTGCGACGGAAAGAGAAGGAAATCGGGGTAAGTAATAAATAGGAGGTGTTGAAGTATTCCTGATAAAGCAAAAATCGGAATTGGGGTAGTCTCCGGATATGGGTCAATCGTACCCAGGCGACTTATCGTAGTCAGACTGACGAGGTTCGCGTCGGAATAGTAGAAAAGCAATGATAATAACGTGCCATGATTTCAATGCGGACACTCAAAATAAACTGCTCTATCTATTTTTCACGTTTCTTTTTATACCACATTTTCGGAATAAATCTTTGTTTGATTTAGATGAATGATGACCTAAACGTGATAAGATTTGATGCCAATTTCCGTTTGAGAGGTTGAAATTCTAGAATACTTTCGTAACAATTTCATGAAATTTTTTTATTAATACTCACGTTGGAAGTTTATTTACATCAAACAGCTTTCAGGAATCCAAATTAATTCTGAAACAAAAAAAATTACTTTTTAACATCTCACTAAGTAAAGGGAGATCATTTTGATTGGAGTGGTTCTCAAAGTTTAAGAATATAGTAAGTGTATAGTGCAGGAACATTTCAAGTTTAATATCGAACGAATCTTGCAAAAAGGGTTCTTTTACATTCCAAAATGAGGTCGACGAAGGTTCAACTTACAGGCTTAAGCTTTATCCCGAGATTACAAAGGATTTCCAGGGAAGGAAGGCAGTCGACGATGTAAATTTTGGTGGTGATAATAATACGACGAGAATTAGTCGACGTAGTAATTATACTTTAATATAGATTTAATCTTTTTAATTTGGATGTGTCAAATTAAACTTTTTTTTGATAAATTTATTAATCAAGATCTAAAAACCATTTCGTAGCACTTAAAAATAAACTTGATATTTCAAAACATGATATTCTAAACACAATATACGAAAAGATTTAGTGCTAATAAATGAAATTTGATGAACACACAATACCCTACAATAAGCCATATTTTAAATAATTTTCTGCTATGAATCTTACCGTTAAAGGTACCGATATTTCCAAACTTAATTAAATTATTAAGTAATTAATTAAATTACTTTGCACTCTTTCACGGAGATTATAATCATGTTAAAATGTTGAAAGAACGTAATATGATTGCTTTTCACACTTCATTACAGACTACTCGATTGAATTGATTATTGAAAAAACGAATCTTCATCAACGTACCTTAAATATGAAACGTAAACACGTCGTCCAATCAAGAAGTTTGTCGCTAAGTGTATTCCTTATGTTTATCTTTTATTATCTATCTGTTGAAAGTTATTGGGGAAGATATGTATTCGACCCGATTCGAAAAGATTCAATATTACTAGGACAGCCAATACTAGAAAATGATGGCAATCAAGATAAGAACTTAACACCGACAAACAACTGGTTCCGACAATTTATTACAAAGTCATGTTCCCTATTGAGTAATGTTCCATCTGCTTCAATAATATATGATCTGCTTATTTCAGTTATAGAATTCCTTAACCAAATGTGAAGTACATAAACTGTCGTTATAGGCCATACGTTCTGATCTGAAGCCTAAAATAACGTTTCGAACATATTGAACAATTTAATTCTTAACGCAAATTTGTTAATATAGCAGAGACATTTCCCATACATATTAGAGTAGAAGGTATCACTGTCAACATTTGGGAGTAGCACTAAGACTGCGACTCAACTTGTTTCCTAAACTGCGCCACGAAATCTGCGATCTACGTAATTCAATTACAAACAATGAGTACCAATTGCAACGGAAGATACAGTGTTATCTCTGATAACTTATGAAAGAAAGGAGTTAAAGTTGAAAATAAAGCCAAATGAGGTTCTTTTAAAGCGATAAACTTTGAAAGAGAAGACTGATGTGTAAAAAACGAGATCAAATAGTCAGCAACCCCAAAAAATAAACTGTATTTATAAATGGAAAAGAATCTTGGTCGTTACAATATAGTAAATGTGGAAATCTTGGGAATCGACCATACAAGGGAATTAAAACAAAGTTGTCCTTTTTTCCTTTAACCGAGATTTAGAATAATATTTTTCCTTCTTCAGGGCAAAACTAATCAATTAAAACTCCAACTTCCCTATTAATATAAACTGTATCTAGAAAAAGTCTCTTATTGTAATTCAATTCCTTTTCAAGGATACAGATATTGTCAAAATCAAAGTAATGCCCTTCCTTAACGTGATGCGCAACTAAAGCACTCTTTCTTTCTTGGCATGCTTGACAATCTCTCTTGCTGGTCCGGAGTCAGGACTTCAGTGAAAGAACCATCTATAACATCAAGGACACGTTTACTTTTGTTGATAAAATAAAAGATTTTAAGTTACCACAAGGTTATGTATTGATTTCACTTGATGTGGTTTTATTATTCACTAACATTCCCTTAAAGTTGGTAAAAAAACTTTTTTTACCAACATTTTAGCCCCATTTTAGCTACTATGGTTATGGATCATCTTTTGGATGAGTGCGTTCCTTTACTCAACTTTACTTTTCCCTTCATCTTTAAGTATGTAGATGATATTGGCCCTAATGAACAAAATTTTAGCAATTGCTTCACAAGTAAAAGCAATGGCTAGATCATCACATGAATAAAATTTTTAAGCAAATGCTGCCGTTCCTACATCTCTTTAGCAATTGCTTATTCGAACAGGTCTCAACCTACAAATTTAGATAGTTCAACTTTTACTACTGTGTTGACGTTAATACAACACCGTGGGTTAAACAACGTAAATAAAACAACATTCTGTGCCATGGCAGATTCTAGTGGAAGTGAGGAATTTAACAGTGATGAAGAAATTTACGATACGCTAGTAAAAATTTCTTTTGCATTACATGTTGCCTGTACGTTAATACTGGGATATCCTTTTCGGTTTATATATTCATCTCCGAACTCAAGAAACTTTGGAATTCTAACATGTGTGCAGTCTATTGCACCAGTAATATCTTTAACCATAACAGTTTAGCTTCTACAAAATCTTCAGCACTTCTAGGAAATCTAATGAAAATATTAGCTTTTTCCAAAACTGCATGCTTTACGGAAGTAAATGTCTTACAGACAGTACTCTGATGAATACCGAGTTCATCAGTTACAGAATTTCGAATCCCCGGATCGGATAACTGTTGCAGAAAGATTTTTATCTGCTGTATAGGTGATAATGCAGCACTTCGCCTTTCACCACTATCAGTCAAAAAGTAATTTGCTAACCACTCAACATTTTCGCGATCAAACCGATATAACTTTCTGAAATCATCGTCTCTGCAATTTTTACGTACACTGTATATTTTTCGTTTATGCACATTCACATATTCAGGCATAATTAAAAAGGGTTAAATGAATAGGAACTCACGTGTATGCCGTAGAGATTCAAAGTTGACTGTACAAGCAAATGATGCAGCGGTCGACCTTTCTTACAAATATGTAAGCAATTCCCATACTAGAAAAAGCAATTCCTTAGTTTATTCATAACATTTTAAGTATATGTAAGGAATTGTATCTATTTTTTAAGAAAATAATTCGAGTAGAAGCAATTTCTGCACTTTTAAACAATTGCTAGCAGCAAAAGTAATTACTTCAATTTTCATTCATTGGTTTTCAAGTATTTGCTTTGATTTTGCAAGAAAAAGCAATTGCAAAATTTTTATTCATTAGGGTCACTATCTGTGCGGTTCCCTCAGACCAGATTGACAGTGTTCTTGACGTATTTAATGGTTTTGATTCACATTAGAGTTTACTGTTGCTCCCAAGTAGCAATTGCGATGATTCATATATAGAAACTACTTCTCAATACTTATCTAGCCGTATCAACCAGCATAAGAGAGATTGTCAAGCAGATTGGTCTTCCAGAAACAACTCCAGAGATAACTCCAGAGAAGTTGTTGTTTTTTTTAATCTTTTTAACTTATTTCGCTTTTTTGTTTTTACTTTATCGTTTTTTGTTATTAAATTTTGGAATTGTAATGTTTCATATTTTCGACGCCACCTTTTGTTATTTTTCTGAAATAAAGATCGTTTTTATTTCGTTTTTCGTTAATTTTTCTTTAATTGTAAGTCTTGGCCTTTGTTTAATATTGAATAAAATTATTCCGAAAGCTCGGTTAAAGGAGAAAAAGGACAACTTTGTTTTAATTCCCTAGTATGGTCGATTCCCAGGATTTCCACCTTTACTATATTTATAAAGATTACTTCCAATGGGGAAAAAAGTGAGAAACGATACACAACACGATGAAGGCAAGGAAGTAGACCCGTAGGAAGAAAATACAGAACTCAAAGAAAGATGAGGAAGAGCTATTTTTGGGAAGGAATATACAGATTTGGAATTACATCTTTTTTTTCTTGCACTGACATCTAATGGTAATGCAGCTTTTAGTACGGTTCCATTTCGCATACCTTGTCCTGTTCCAAATGAATGTTTCGTTGGTGCAATTCTTAACGAGATTTACAACATAATGTGTGTTTTACTCGGGTGGGTCAGATTGTGAATAGAAACAACACGGAACTAGTGTAATCTAGGCGCTACTAGTTTATCCTAAAGTGGGTGATTATTATCAGTCCAAACTAAGTTTAACAAAGTTTAGTTAAGTAGATCACAAATATGTCATCGTGTATAAACGACGACGCGACAAGTTATAAACATTATATAATACAATATTAACGTTGTAAATTGTTTTGATCGTGCTTCAAACTTTTATTTAAGCAACATATTACATCACAAAATAATTTTTTACATTTTTAAGAGAAATCAAAATCACCCGAATAGCTATACGTAAGTTTTAAATGAAAATGAAGGGCAACTTAAACAATTTTTGTAAATCAACAAAATCACGAAAAATTGAAATTGAATTGAAAGTTATCAAAACGAATGTCAAGAAATGAAATCAATATAATCAATAACGATAAATATTTGTTCCAATAGCAAATGGATATTATTATTTAATCTAGTTCCATGAATGTAAATGTAATAATTAAGTCCCTGAACATTAACAGAACCGTAATAATTGTGTATTAACGTTACAGTTTGTATTACGATAGAGGTCAACTACTGTTCTAATTAAACACTCCTCGATATTTAGTTTTTCTGTTGTTTGATGGTCCTCGATTTAAAATGCATTACAACGTGAAAGTGTGCAGGTGTGCGAACCTAGAACGTAAATAATGTAGGCATCGATTTTTCTGTCTATTTCTTAAGAAACCATAAGTTATATACTATTCACCGCTTGACTGGATAAAAATAAATTTCACATCTGCTAAAAAATCGACCAAATAGTAATAATCAGAGACACGTGAACCAAACATTTCAATTTATTTATTGATTAAAAAGTAGGAAGACAAAGCACGAACAATTATTTTCAATTATTCTTTAAATATTAAAACAACAATGCATCATGCATTCTAGTAAATAACCAAGAAAGTCACTTCAATTGTTACCAACAATAATAATTTAAGGGG